ATTTATCTTTTCAAATGATTTTGTTATCTAACTCTATGTATATATGAATTTTGTATATATATGTATGTATATGTAAATGTGTGAAATTCTAAACTTGCCTGGGACTTTTTTTAGTGTCTGTTAAGACTAATAGTTTCAGAAGTTGGGGAGTGCCTTTTAGGATCTATTATCTCCTTTTTTCTGCTTGTGGCAGGGTGTGGGTATTCCTAATGCTGCTTAGTAGGGGAGAGACCTGGGAGGCATTATGATAACTATGCTTTTGGGGGGGAGGCTATTTTGAATACTCCAGATTTCCTGAGTTTCACCTTTTGCTACCTAACTTTACTGTCCTATTGGGATGTCAAAAGTACAGAATCAGGACCTGAGTTCCAAGCTTATACCAAGGCAACTGGTGGTATTAGAATGGAATTATTACAGTAGTCAGATCTGTGGTTGCATTTGTGATATCCATTAAGGGTTGCACTGTGGAAAGGTAGGGTTATCTGCTTTGATGCCTACTACAGAGACTTTCTCCTTAAAAAACTATTTTTAATATGGATCTGGCTTTCATAAATCTGTCCAGGGCTATTTTTAATCAGGGTATTTTTATTCTGTACCATCTCTTGAGGTGATTAGTTTGGTAAGTTTACTGCCACTTGTGAAGTCATCTTAACCTCTTTCCTGAGTCAGTTTCTAGAGTCAGTTTGGGTGTACACACTCATTTTCACTTTTTTATTCATCCATTCATTTATTGATCAAATATTGACACATACAATATGGGCCAAGTAATGAAATTCTCTGGAGAATAGAGCACTGAAGAAAATTTATCAGATCTCTGCCCTTGAGAATCTTATATTCAAACAATTCAGGATGATGGAGAGAGAAGATAAATGAGTATTATAATAGTTGTAAATGATATGGAGAAAATTTTTAAAAAAGAGAGATCTAGAGCCCTGGCCAGCATGGCTCAATGTCTAGCAGCAGTTCTCAACCTGTGGGTTGTGAACAATGAAAATACATCTTGCATTTCAGATATTTACATTACAATTCATAACAGTAGCAAAATTACAGTTATGAAGTAGCAATGAAAATAATTTTATGGTTGGGGGTCACCACAACATGAGGAATTGTATTAAAGGGTCGTGGCATTAGGAAGGTTGAGAACCACTGCAGACCATTGGTCTGTGAACCAGAGGGGTCATGGGTTCAGTTCCTGCTCAAGGCCAAGTATGTGGGTTGCATGTTCAAACCCCAACCCCACTTGGGGTGCATGGAAGGCAACCAACCCATGTGTGTCTGTCACATTGATGTTCCTATTTCTCTCTTTACTTCTCTGTCTCTCTTTCTCTCTGCTCCTTCCTTCCTCTTTTCCACTCTCTCTAAAAAATGGGGAAAAATATCCTCACTCCTTGGGTGAGGATAAAAAAATAAGTTGACTAGAGAGGATAGGTGATGAGGGTGGAGAGGTTGCAATGTTAAGTATGATGATTAGGAAGATTTTATGGAGGTGACATTTGAACAAAGGTGACAGAGGTAAGTTGTGTATTTCTTCCATTGTAACTTTATCCTATATAATAAAAGCCTAATATGCTAAGTGTCCAGTTGTCCAGTCAACTGTTCAACCAATCAAAGTGTAATATGCTAGTGATGTGCTGAGGCCGCTCAGCTGCTCGCTATGACATGCACTGACCACCAGGGGGCAGACAGTCGACCAGTCACGAGGATATGCACTGACCACCAGGGGGCAAATGCTCTGACCGGCTGCTGAGGTCTGGCTGATCGGGACTGAGTGAGATAGGCCGGACATGTCCTGGAGCCCTCCCGCAGTCCCTCCCCTGCTGGCCAACCTCCTGGTCTCCGTCGGCCCCAATCATGCACCAGTGGGGTCCCTTGGCTTGGCCTGCACCCTCTTGTAATCTGGGACCCCTTGGGGATTGTCAGAGAGCTGGTTTTAGCCCAATCCCTCAGGCCAGGCCGAGGGACCCAACTGGTGCACAAATTCATGCACCAGACCTCAGATGATACCTTGGTTGATACTAGCCTTCCTTTTATACTAAAGAGTCCTAATTGTTTACATCTGTCCTCACAGTACTTTTTTTCCCCCTGACTCTTTGTTGCCTTCTGTCATTCCTTTACGGCCTTTTCATTTTATATTATTTTGAGGTGTATATTGATGAAAAAACAAGAACACTCACTATGGTTTTTCTATAAGGAAAAAAGCAGATTAAGAGACTCAAAACCTACTTTTAGTTTTTCTTTTGAGATGTTAGGAAAGGTTAAGGTTTTCAGTCCACCCTACTTATTTCTAAGTTGGAGGTTGTGCTGAAACATCTGGAACTATCACAAGAATAGATCCTAAAAAATTGCAATGTGAACTATTCAAAGTAAAATCACTATTAATATAGGCAAATTGAAATTAGAATGAGCTGACTGGTAATTTGATTGGTTATACCCTCAGTTTGCTCATATGGCTAATTTAAACTAGAGAAAGTATCTGTATACGATGGCTTCTATGATCAAAATGCTTTGCAGTGTCTTAGAAAATGTGAAACTAGAATGTTATTGTTTATGTAGCATAGTTATCTGTCATTGTCTAGTCATCTGTAATCATGGATTTATGAACTGAATTTAAAATTTTGTGTATGCAAAATGACAAAAATGAGAGGTTATTTAGATAAGTAAAAGTTACTAATGGAGGCAGATTGTCTTGAATTCTGTTATTTTGACAAATAGATTGTCATGCTGATATTTTTAGAATGAGGTTTTCAGTGTACTAATGTCAAAATCATATTTTCTAATTTCAGTTCAGTGTCAAATATTAAGCATATGTGTCTGTCATCCATTATGAAATATACAGTTTTGCAGTATTTGAGGCTATTGTACTATATTGTAATACTTCAAAAAATGGTAAAAATATATAGTGTGTGTTTAACATATTTAAGGAAGTAGAAATTGTTGTGGAACCTTAAGCAAAAAAAAAAACAACTCCCTTTCTCTGAACTTATATAATTATGTATAAGAAGTATTTCGTTCTAATCCTGGTTTCCATCGTTACAGGCTGGTTAAATGATTATATTTGCAAATGTGCCCAGGTATTTGTGTCTGAAGTGAGTCAGTTGTGCCCACATTTTAACAACCTGTAGGCCAGAGTTTATTGAACTCGAGAAAATAGTATTTCTGCCAGTTAAAAATACAAATAAATTAAAAATGACAGTAGTCTAATTTAATTTAGTATCACCACCTGTTTGTACCACCACTGTGTTTATGAGAAAATGTGTGAGCTATAAAAGACTTAAGGAGAGCAAATCTACTCCACTTTCCCCCCCTAACTTTTTAAAGTAAAAATAGAACAGTATGATGAAACAATGAAATGAATTCCCATGTATCCATCACTCTTCTTTAATAGTTAACAACTCATGGTTAATTTTGTTTCAGCTATACCCCTTATCTCCCCACCTACCCCTTGTTACTCCCCTCACTTTTTACCTCTGGAAAGAGAGACAACAGCTGAGTCAGGCTCAGCACTCAGATGCCACTCTTGCTCCTCTTTGCCATGTTTTGCCTTCTCCTCTGTGGATGGAGAAATGGATGAAAAAAAATCTTAAAAAGAATAAAGGTTAGTTTCCAGACAAATATCATTTAAAAATCTGAATTGTGAACTTCAATATTTCTAGTCTCAGATTTTGAGTTGGAATTAAATAGAATCTTCTAAATTAAATATAGATTCCACAAAGACATTTTTCTAAGTGCACTCCGAGAAAGTAACATTTACCTCTGTACAAATATGGTTTATTTTATGTTTTCTAAAGATTTTTTATGTATTTGCTTTCACAAAAAAGTGAAATATACATCTTTGAGGTTATTGGCATTTATAATAAGATACAATGAAATTGTCCCTTATATTCATAGAAAACACTTGAAGATGCCTTTTCCAGTATCTTCTGTTATACATTTTAAAAAATCAAGTGATCCAATACCTTTTTTCAAGTTTTTAAATATATAAAAGTGAGTGGTAGTACTTAAAAAGTGAAAATGGGTTTTAAGAAGTTTTTAAATATGTTTTTAATTGATATTACTCTTCTAATCAGTTGTTTATATTATATAAAGTCTAATACTGAAAACATACACAAACCTCTTTCTTTGTACATTCAATATCCTTTTGACTGTAGCTAAACAAATTATAGAAATAATTTGAAAAGTATTTGGGCAGATATTCTTTCAGCAGAAAGGAGAAATTATGTTATATTAATGGCTCCCATAATGATTTCTCTTTATAATTAGTAAGATGGGACTACTAAAACAGAATTCTAACCTTCATTTGTTACCAACCCTTATAATGTGAATTATCAAAGTACCTACAATTCTTGATAAAAATTTATGAAATTAAAAATAAAACAATTCAGTTCCTGTTCAGCATTCATTGAGGAAATTTGATTTTTTTAATTTGAAATTCGGTATTTGGAAGTGAATCAAATATGATAGGATGTTGCAAATCCAAGAAAACTGGAATGTGCAATAAAAGAGACTTAATTCCATGGATGAATATGTTATTCTCAGTATGCCACACTGTATAATTGTTGCAGCTTCCTAACCAGAAGGCTCTGTCCCTCAACACTTCCACTATGGATTCCATCTCCATTAAAAAGTCTTATTCCTTATTTTTGCCCCATTGCCTTTAATTAATAGTGCCTGACAGGAGACTAAATATTAATGTAGCCAGTCTAGAACTTTCAGAGCAGAGTCTTCCAGCATTATTTACTACACTTGACTAGTAATTGACCAACTATTAAATAACTGCTTTAAAAGTTAACAGATTTGCCTAACACACTTCTGTGAATGGTATATTTAGAATCTGACTTTATATAACTTTTTAGACTACTGTGTGTGTGTGTGTAGTGTGTAGTGTGGGTCTTAATGTTTTGTTCTTGTTTGGGAAAAATCAGTTTTCATTGCTTTAAAAGATATTTTCATATATTACATTTTGTACCTATAGACTTAAGTTAAATTTTCCTTAATCCTAGATGAGAATTGGAAAGTAATCAAATTATTTCATTGTCAAATTGAGTCTTCAAGTTACTGCTTACTTGGTTTTACATCATAAATGGTACGTATATCACTACATCTTTTAAGACATTTTCTGAATTGTTGTATGCCTTCTTAAGAAATAAGGATGATTCAAAATATAAGTATTGAATATAAAAATCTCATATTTGTTTTCCCCCTCATTTGTAAAATGAATCAGGTTTTTTTTCTGCGCATTTTCTTTCAGTTATTCTCTAACACATTCTTGTCTCTGTTTGTCACCCTTTCTGCCCCTTTTCCTCCCATTTGCTCTGGTCTTTTCTGCTTGTTATTGCTTGGCATCAGCTGTTTGAGTTTTAAAACTTCTTAGCCAACCCGTTCTCTTCCTACCTCAGTCTCAGTCTTTGGTCAGATGGTTCCTTTGCACCTCTCAGCCTGCTCCTTTATTATTGGATTTTTTGCCTTTTTTGGATAGTTATTCTTCATTCTTCTGTTTGTTGTTTTTTGGTACTTTTAAAGAAATAGTTATAATTTCCTTTATTCTGTTTCCCATAGTGTGCAATGAGAAGAAAAAATAAAACAACCATTGAAGGACAGATATACGTGACTCTTTAAAAAAGAAAGAGGTAGTGTAGTTGACAGGTTATTTTAGAAAGTACAACCAGCTCAGCGATAGAAGGGCTAACTGTTTCCATGAATAAAGAAAAAATGTTGCCTGGCATTTACAAAAACTTATTTTTAACTTTCTAAAGCTGCAGGCAGTATTAGTAAAACACATAGCGAGAATAAATGTATCAAAACATCCTTGGAAAATATGGATAAAGTTTCATAAAGTGATTATTGAGGAGCATTTGAAATCTTACTCCCTGGGATATGTCCTCAGTTTGGCTCAGATAAATTCATAAAAGTAAAAATAAAAAAGACTGATGATTATTGTAAAATCACATATTTTTATTTATCTGCATGACCTTTGGTATTTTATGGTAGACCAATTTCATCATCTTTATCTTCAAATACTTAATGTCTTTTTCATAAAGAAATAAAAGTCAATATAATTTCTTTTTTTAAGGAATGTAGAGGTCCTCTCATATCCTCTACCCACTTTTAAAGTACTATTTCACACAATTTGTTTATCAGCATTTTATTGATAGCCTCTACTATCTTTCTTTTTATTTACGTTCAGTGCTATCTAGTTTAGTGAAGTTCTGTGAGTAACTTATTGAGTGTTAATTTTTAAAGTTATGGAGAATATGCATATGATAGGATAGAATATATTTTAGAATTAATATAAAGGATGAAAAAGGTCATCTTTTTAATAATAAAATGAAATTTAGAATTTCAGATTTTCAAGGGTGTGTGTGTGTGTGTGTGTGTGTGTATTGGGAGGGATGCCTTTTAGTTCTGCAAAATTCATGACTCCTAGATTCCTAGGTTAAATTTATTTTTCTATTTTTGGAATTTATATAAGTTTATAAAGTTGAAGTTACTAACTGCTTTCCCCTCCCTAAAACATTCTGAGTTCATTTATATCCATTATAACCTTTTATAGGTCAATATGGAAATAAAAACTTGGGAATGGTAGGTGGTATAATTGAAATATAGATCATAATCTGTTCTTTGTTTGTTTTACCAAATTAGGGATTCTGAGGATACATTTTGAATATTTGTGTACGTTTAGCATTTTATCCCTTTGTTAGAAATCTCTCAGTGTGACTTGTTTTTAATAGGATGTGTCTTCAATCACTCTTGAAAAGTATTAAGCCCTTTAAACACACTGGTCAGACCCATAGAAGGAAGCCTACAGGTTTATTAGCACTCCTTAGCCTGAAAGCACAGCATACCCTTCTAGGTTGCACAGCAACAGACTCCTAGCAACCATAATAGATTGAATTTCTAAGAGTGACCAGGCCGGATGTAATAATAAAGCAAGAGGTACAAACAGTTGTCATGGTTTTCTTTTCACAGTAAGTTAGTTTGAATTGGGAAAGCTTAGCATTTCAAAAATGGGCAAACTTTTTATAAACCCAGTACTGTTTGTGCACCAGACTTCTGATATTAAAATAGCAATAAACTACCAAAATTTAAAAATATACTGGTTAAAAGAATAGTGTACTTTAAATAAAACAAGTAAAAAAGGTAAAAGGTTATCATATAAAAAAGTTTTCAGGGAATTTTAGAAAAAACATCATAAACTTAAAATTGAACTGTAGCAAAATAATCATAATGTGCTTTTTAAAAATAAAAATTGTAATAGTTTGCTTTCTCTGTTATTGGGATCCTTCATTTATTTTAATATTGCAGCAACTTTTGTTTTATGTACATTATTTAGTGGATGTGTATGTAAAACTAATAGTTATAATAAACTTTTAAAATTTAAGAAAATAGGCTACATCAACTATATATAAACAATGTTTTTTGAAATTATGAATAACTAATTTAGCAGATAGGTTATTGAAAAAGAAAGAATAAAGTAGTAAAATGTACAGTCTTTCACAGTGACAGTAAAAGTGTCAGTGATATTCCTAAAGGAGTAATATTGTGCTAGAACTTTGCCAACATTTCTGTTGTATACTTTTTAGTATGTGTTTGCCACATAGCCATGAAAAGGAGATTCATTCAGATACATTCACAACCTAAACCAGGAGGCCTCTATCAAAAGAAACAGATCTCATATAGCTGCTGGAGTAGGGAGTGGAACTACATAGCCTTTGACAGCAGTAAGCTGTAAATATACACACATGCTAATACCCTTGATTTGTTCATCTTTTGTGCAGCATTTGGAAAAGATTGTTAAAGTAGCAGTTACAGTGAAGAGTGGCAATTACAGTAAAGAGCGGAAATTAGGTATTTGTGACTTATTATATTTTATTAAAAGACGTCCTTATTAAAATGACACTGCTTACTCTGATTACTTGACAGCTGCCCTAAACAGATTAGAAAATACACAGCTTTAGCTAAAGGTAAAATCAACCTCTTTAAGCAAGTGCATGGCGTGAAACAACTAAATGGTATACTGTAAACTTTTATTAAACAATAAATTTGCTTTAGATTGAGATGTTTATTAGTGATTAAGAGGCATTCTGTTTTGCATTTCTATAACAGTTACCTACAGTTGCATTTTCCCATTGGGATACGTTAATACACCCACCTAATAATTATACTAGCTTCCTATTAGAGAGGATCTTATAAGGCGTCAAAGATCCAGGGAACTGTAGGGCACCATAGAGAAGCTTTCTGTGGCTGTCTGATAAGTTGTTATCCTAATGTACTGTAAATATTTTTACAAGGCAGCACTAAAACTTTAAGAAGTTTTAGGACTAGATTATAGATTTTTGAAATATTTGCAGTTTTTTCTTAATAATCCAGTAGAGCCACGGCGAGTTTAATACTTCAATTTAGGTATCAGTTGCACCACACTGAATTATCTGCTTTTCCTAGAGAAAAATTTAGTATGTGGCTCTTGTTACTAACCTTTAATGAATGATATTTCTGAAGTTTTACTGTTGCTTACTCTATGTCATGTATATTTTACATAGTGACTGCAGAGCACTTTATAGAACAGTCCTGCCAATCAATTATTCTGAATTGTAGTTTAGCCGTTAAGTAGCCTGACCTGCTACACAGTGTAAAATTTCATGACCTTGTCCCTGTCTCTTATGTCATGAGGCATGGATATGCACTGTAGTCCACACTATGAAATCACAGCTCATGCTTGAAGACACAAACACAGGTTCAGTATGAAACAGATTTGTAGGAAAATTACTTCCCTCAACTAATTGTGAATATAGATTTTTTTCAGGACTGTCACAATATTAATAGAAGTCTGTCATAGTACTTGGGTGGTACTGTGAAATTTCCACAAAGGCCCAAGCTGTGCTATGTGAGACACTCATGCTAATTCCATGTTTTATGTAAATATGGGGATATTACCTATTCAGTTCGGTTATAAAATGAAAAATGTGAAAGGTAAAATGATATATATAAAACAGAATGGCAATCTAGAGTTAGTATGTCATTATCATCTTTCTAGTTTACTCCTTGTGATAGGATGTAAGGAGGGTTTCACAGGACAGGATGGCAGCTGAACATGGTAACATGGAACTGGATATAATTAGAAGCAATATTGTTTTCAAAGAGGGGATATTAAGGACTATATATTTTGTTAAGTCATTTTCAGTATTGGTCAGTGTAGGAATTCTTTTGAGTAAACTTTTATCAGTAACCCCTCTTCACAGGTTCAAATATTGGAGCAGGATTTTTTTTAAAGATTGCAAGATCAGTAATCAATAGGAAAAATATGCACTAAACAGATGAAATACTTATTACTCTGAACAAAAAGTAGAATTTAAAGAATAGGGCCAATTTATTTATTTTAGTAAATATGTACAGTGAATCTTGTATTATTTAAACATTTAGTCTCTCTCCACATTTTTCTTCCATGGAAAGCCTAACAGCAGAAGTGAGTAAACTGCTTTGTGTTAGCACTTTACATGGTTGATATAAAATAACTGAAAATAGCCCTAGCCGGTTTGGCTCAGTGGATAGAGAGTCGGCTTGCAGAGTGGGAGGTCCCGGGTTCGGTTCCGGCCAAGGGCACATGCCTAGGTTGTGGTTCGATCCCCAGTGGAGACGTGCAGGAGGCAGCCAATCAATGATTCTCTCATCATTGATGTTTCTATCTCTCCCTCTCCCTTCCTCTCTGAAATCAATAAGGAAATATATTTTTTAAAAAATAACTGAAAATAGCAGTAGCTTCTGCTAAGAAGGTCAACAGTGCAGTCGCATGAAAATCTGATTACGTTTGGCACTTTTTGCCCTATCCCTAAACAATGTTCATGCTTGCCATTGATTTACAAAATATAGTTTAAATTTTAATATATTCTGTTGTTGCTAAAGGAACCATAAAGGCATTTAATTTAATGAGAAATATTATTTGCAAAAGAATAGAAGTGATTTGAAACACAACGGTTTGAAGTAGCTATTGGGATTAAACTGGTGTAAGCAATGGCTATCCTATTTCAATTCTTTGAAGAAGGTAATGCCAACCTGAGCTTAACGAAGAGGTACAGAACATGCTCAATG